AATTGGACTGGGGTTTCATAAACAAATTTCAGAAAATGAATTGATTTTTATCGACGGGCATACATACACTTCAAAACCCTGCGCAGATAACAATGGATAAGATTCACTGTTTTATTAGAACGCAAAAATTAAGAAATTAATATAATCAAACTCATTAAACTTGTATATTAATTTTTAAAAAAGAAACATTTCATATTCAAAATCATACCGTCCAATCTTCATTCTTTCATCAGTAACACTGCACACTCTATCTGAGTAACACAATTGTTTATGCGGATTGCGTTTAACAGCTTCTTGGTGGATCATAGAATATTCATCCTTAGTGGCGTGTTTTCTTATAAACAATTTTTTAACATCAGTTGCTTGTTTGTTTCTGTTGAATAACGAAATAAAATTCATTGACTATTATAGATAAGAACATTAACAGAGCCTAGCCTTGTACTGTTTGATTTTTTTTTAAAGGAAAACAAAATAAATAAAAAAAGCTACGAACAACTTCATTCAGTTAAGCGTTCTTGCTTTAAAGGTAGAATAAATGGATAATTTCCACCATTATAAATGTCAGATTTATTCGAAAATAATATAGAACCTTGAGAACATAGAAAAACAAGTCGCAAATATCTCTTTCGGTATTATGCTTTGTGTTATCCTTTTCACACACTTTCGGTTTCATTTGTTTCTAGAAAGAGAAACCAAAACAATGAAAACAAAACGGTGGCAAAGTTCCAAGAAGAAAGTTGTATAAAAGTTGGCGTTTTAAGTAAAAGTTTTAAACAGAGAATCAGTCAGTATTTATTGAATATTTTCTTTATATTTAAGGACTTGTTGCATAAGGTAAGAAATATTTTTTTCTAATATAAACTTGATTCGATATGAGAAAGGTGCAAGAAAATTTTATATTCTATCTAGATAACTTACATAATAGTTGCATGATACACATTAAAATTTTAAACAGTATCAATTTTGATGTAATGGATTCGATTCAAGATTAATTATCTATTTTTCAGTGATACTCAGATCATGCCAAAACGTTGAAATCCGGATATTTACACATAAAAACATAAAACTGAAAAAGGGGGTACTAAAGTAGTAAATCGTATACTTTCGTTATGTTTTAGAAAATGGGTAACGAAAACGCAGTGCCAGTAGTATCTCAAGTGAAGTCTCTTTGCCAAGCTATCGGAGGCGACCTTGAGGGGGCTCAAAGGACACAGGATGAATTTTCCAAACAATGTCCAGTCGTTTCCCAAATGCGATCAGCTGTGGAAGCAGTAAGCGGTGATTCTGAGGCGGCGATAGACACACAAAAGGAGTTTGTGAAAGGAATTATCAAAGGGACATCGAATTAATCTTGGCATTCAGCAATGACATTACCAAAATATTCATCTGATTGCTGTTTGACAAATTGTGAATAAAACGCTAAAAAATATAAGGATAATATTACACTTTTTGAAAATATTATTTACAAAAATTTCCTTAAAAAAACATTAAAAAGGAAAAGTATCAACATTTTGTCTTTTTATATATTTTAGAGTTCACTCAGAAAGTTGAAAAGTTTTATATTTATTGCTTTGCATGTAGGTGATAAGTTTGCTCATTTTAAACCAGTTGGTCAAAAGAGGGCAGCGAAAGGTATTTGTAAAATATGATCTTTTTATGCATTTTGTTTTAACTAACGTTTACAAATAAGACATTATCACAAGAGACACACTCGAGTGTATTGTACGTCTGGCATTTAAAGGTAAAATTACCATAAGCAATGAGGATAATAATAAGATATTCTGGAATATGAAGACATTTTTCTGTTCAGCAATTGAAATATAATCTTTCTGACAAAGTTATTTCTTTTGTATCGTAAGAGTTTTAAACTTCTAAAGTAAGCTGAGGCTAAAAATCCACTTTGCAACGTGAAGACCGGTTCTTCGAATGTCACTACCGGAGGTCCTCTGTCACAAATGATGGAAAAGTGAAAAATTCCTCGCTGCTCAAAGCCTTATTAAGTGCCGAGTTCATGTCAAAATTTGAAGTTTTAAGCGGATATTTAAAGCAACGAAAATTATACCAAGCGAGTCTGCTATTGCAAGCGATAGCGTATGTCGCCCCCAACTAGAAAAGACTTTCATTTTTTGTATCACTAAAACAATTCCAATTAGCTAATCTTTGACAACCATCAAATCGTATAAGTCCTTTCATTACTTTGATTTAAAAATCAAAGTTCAAGATTTTTCACTTATACGCAATTACTTATTTTCATTTATTTCCAAAACTAAATCCTTGCTAATAATTCTGCTAATACGATATACAGCATCGAAAAAAACACCAGACCCTTGCATATTAATTAGAATACACACACAGTTGTTATTTCAAAATTGTACTTTCATGCAAATAGCTCTCTAATGACAAACCTTGTCTGCAAACTATTTTAACAATCCCAGTATGTCTTTTTCGAATTCGAACCCCTTGTATTTAAATTAAAAAAAGAAATAAATCAGCGAGATTGAAATGTATAGCAGTGATACAGAGTGCTAGCCAAATGCAATATTACGCAATGTTTCATCGATTTCATAATAATCCCTCAACAATACTATTTAATGAAAATAATCCATCTTCTAATTTATTAATCATAATGCACACACACTCTAATGTTTTATGCCCTAACTAATTATGTTTGCATTTAAAAGTACAGTATACAAGTACATCAGAACCCCATTTTCACCTTTTGGGTTATGAAACAGTTATTAAAATGCTCCAATATTATATAGGTTTATTTGAAAACTTAATTGGTCATTCTCTTCGTTTGCATGATCGTGGATCAATACATCATCGAAATTGAAATTGGGTCTATTAGGTCCTCCTTATTTCATTAGTAATACTTGCAAGAGTTTAATTAGACCAATTTTTAATGTTTTTGAAGGGTCATTAAATCGTGATTTATAATTAGTTTAAGAAAAATGAACATTGAATGCATTTGTATTAATTACTAGTGTTCTGTGGAATACCTTTTTTGGCACATTTGCATTTGCATTAACTAAATACCGCGGGTATTTCCTGTTCCTCTCCGTGCTAAGGCAGTCCGAAGTCTGTGAATACATTTAAAACGTTTTTTTGTATTTTCTAATGCAGCTAGGGGTTGTTTTCAACTGATATTTCTAAAACATTATTTTCGAGAATAATCTAATCTCTAATTACTTATTTGTTACGACATAAAAAAAATTGTATAGTATCTTACAATTATAGATCTTTAAGGAAAATAATTTGAGGAGATTTAAGGCATAGTTTAAATTAACTTTTGATATCATTGATTGATTGATTGTATATCATTTAACCTCTTGAGAATTTTTCACTCATATGGAGATGTCTCCGTATGCCGGTGAAGGGCTTCAAATTTAGACCTATACTCGGCACTCAGGGCCATTGAGCAGTGAGGGTTCTTTCGCGTGCCAGCGCCTACCATGACACGGGACCTACGTGTTTAAGGTCATATCCGAAAGACCCGTGACTTTCACTTCTAGTGCCGAGCGCTTGGCGAAGGAATAGTCACTACCTTTGTTTACTTCTTAGGTTTGACGCGGCGCCGCGAACGAGAATCGAACCCGGGTTTCCCGTTCACGAAGCGAACGCTCTACCACTAGGCTACCCTGACCGGTACTTTTGATATCAAGGCTAAAAGGAACCTTGTTACAATGTATATTTAGCTGTATTTAACACCAATGGTTCTAGACCTGATTCTTTGCATTCGCCTCTATAAATTATAATAAACGTTATGACGCTTCTGTAAGTTGTACGTAATGTTAAGGATCTTAGGATTACTTCAGTACAGCCGTGAATTATAAATAGAAGCATTGAAAAAAAACCTGAAGATGATATGATAATGCAAGAAAAATTGTTTTTAAAATTTCCTAGGTTAAACAAGGGGAACTGTATGTCTATATTGCATGGTTTGAAGTAATGTGCATTATATTTATGTGGTATATGCAATGTAAAATCAATTGAGGTTGTACCATAAGATTATTACTGGATAAACACAAAATTTTGTGAGATGATGAGGAACTGATTGCTTATTTCAAGGGCTAAAACTAGAAGTGAAATGATTGGCTAAAAACCAATATTAGAATAAAGTGATTTTAAATTTATTCTAGAACAGAAAAGTAATGAAAATAAGATGATATAAGAATAAATTCTTAAAATCATACATGTATAAATAGGTAAATTTCGTTTTGTTTATATTTTTGGTAAGTGGAAATAAAACATGATATCGTCTGTCTTAAATATCAACAGCATTGCTAACTTCCCATCATACTTAAGTCGCCATTAATTAGTCCATACAATGTTTATCAATTTATACCAAAATATTATATTCTCTAAATCTAAAGAAATAACCCTTTTTATGTTTTCATTTCTTTAATGAAAATTTGGTTCGTAAACTTGTCTCCATGACATAAATATACATACAGATTTAAAATTTATAATAAATTACTTGTATTATTCTATGCTAATAGATAATTAATTAAGTTTGTAAAACTTCACATAAAAGAATCATTTAAACAAAATGAAGAGGATTAATTCATCATCAAAATACTTAAATTCATTTTACAGATGGTTCCATAAATACTAGGGCGACATATACGGCAACATTTGCAACGTACATGTGAAATTATTCATCTTCAAAAACACTTTTTTTTTCGCACGTAATCACAAGTGTGCTGCGGGGAAAAGGATAACGTCATCAAAAAGTAATAAATGTAATGCTATTATTACCTCACAGTCAGCGCAAGGGACAAAGAGTTAATTACTTTTATTTTTACTTCATTTTAAGATTGATCCCAGTATATTATTTGCAAACTGATGGTTTAAATACTATAAACTTGAAACAATATAGTCACCAACATAAATTTAACATAACGATGCAATAGGTTTTCAGTCTTGTCATGAAAACTGAATTTTTCAAATAATATTAAAATTGGTTGAAGATGTCGCAAATTCCAGGTTATAACTATCGGTCATGTATGCTCTTTCTCACAGATAAAAGTCTTCTTTTTTGAACATTCATTATCATCCCAGAATCCGTTCCGGCAAAATGCAGCACAATGTTGCCCATCTTCATCCCCAGATGACTCCTCCAGGAAATTATCTGGTTGATCTTCGTTCCAGTTTGTAAAATCCACTGCTGTTCGGTGATTCCAGGTAAAATTGCCTTCGTTATCAATATCAGTTGCTCCATTCCAGGTCTCACAGCAATCCCACCAATTGGGACAGTCAACTAAAAATAAAAAAAACAATAAGGGCAGTCTACTAAAAATAATAAACTGATAAGGGCACTCTACTAAAAATAACAAACAAATTGGGACAGTTTACTAGAAATAACAAACCAAGAAGGACAGTCTACTAAAATAACAAACCAATTGGGACAGTCGACTAAAAATAACATACAATGTACGAATGATGTTAAAACAGCTGAGCAAATCAGATTTTCAAATTCACTTTGATGACAATGACAATGTATACGGTGCATAGTCGTTTGAATACTTTAAGACATAAGCATTTCTTATGCAAATTCATGATAATAGATGAGATTGTACAGTGTATAAATCACGTATGATTTTATGATCACGAGGCAAAACTTAACTTACACGAGATGATAAATGTCATTTTTAAGCAATTGGTTTAAATGCTTATATGCGCCATAATGTCGGAAAAAATGTTAATCATTTTTTTAAATTAAACTAATATTTAAAAAAGGAAGGTGGGTTTTTTTTGTATGAATAACTGTATTCTATCTTCATTGTTGAACATTCACTAAATTCAATTAAAATCAGATAATCAGAGAAAAACCGCGTACTCTCAGCTAAAACAGAGACAGACGTACGAGGGCTGATCCAAAAGTAATGTCACATCTTCGATAAAACTGATACTATAGTCATACTCATGCTCTATAAATAGCTTATGAAAAGTAATGATTTTCTCTATCTTTGAGACATCACAATGTGAAAATAATGTCAATATATAGGTTACTCGTAACGAAAAATGGTTGTCACTGTCTTACTCCAGCAACGAACAGCTGTAAAATTTAACATATATTTTGAAATTCTTTTAAAGTAGCTGATAATTATAATTTGTACAAGGTTTATGAAAACAATAGACTTTCCCGATGTTAAATCATAAATTATTTTGATTGTTTAAGTGAAGGAACGGAGATAGTTAAACATTAGGTTTGTTTTGTACCCCTTACAAAAGCAAGCTGGGGAAGAGATGTGTCCATTGTTAGGCAATTTGTTTTAAAACATTGCAAAGATACAGCTAGAAATATGGTTGAATAGCTTAACAATTTTATTATTATTAAATCCCTAAAATAGCTTTTTATTTTGACTTTTAATTGGATTGGTTGTTTTAGTGAAGGGAGGGAGATGGTTAAATATACCATGTGTTTTGTAGCCCCAGCGAAAGCAGGCTGGAGACTAGATGTCTCCTTTGATAACCAGTTTCTTACGGAAGACCACGAAGTTACAGCTAGGAAATACTTGAATTAAAAATAAAATAAAATAAAATAAAAAAAATTAATTAAAAATAATGAACACTGAAAAAAATATTATTTTTGGAAGTTACTCAATATGTTCGCGAACTTTTTGACCACCCTATGTATGTTTAAATCTTTGATCAAAACAAATACTTGTATCTACTTTCACGGAAAATTAATTGTACCGGAGGTGATTATATCACATAGAATAAATACGAGGATTGAACCAAAAGTACACTGTAATGTCACTGAATATCTTTAATATTTGGCGTCATATTATCAAACGTTATATACCAAAGGATATATAAGAAAATATAATCAAAAATGAAAATATCATTAAATAATGTAAAGGACGACAGACCTAATTCGAAATTTCGCACAACTGCGCAGAAAGTCGTTCTTCTGCCTGATATCAGATTGACTTAATTTTGTACTGCAAAAGATGATGGATATACATTTTTTAATGTTACAAAGAATTTCAAACGATTACTCCCAATTCAAAATTAGTTAAGACAATTTGATTTGCATTCATTTGTTGATTCTTTAAGTAAATGATTAATTCACGACATTTACCGTAAGCGCATGGGGAGTCAACAAAAACGTGTTGTGATGTTGATGACTTTTCTGAATCGTCAGTAAGGCTGACATTATTCATTGTTTTGCCTTTTCTTTACACAAATGAGGAGGAGCAAGTACAAACATCGTCATAAACTACGGTCAAATGTACGACCCTCAGTCTCCCATTATCGATTCTATAGCGGATTCTTGACCGTGGCCTGAGACGATAAGTTTAAGTTGATGTTTCTGACGGAGATGATTAATTTTTGTACGAAAAGATGTTTTTCTGAATAATGTCTGATGCGTTGCCTTTTCGTCCTAAAAATGAACTTAACATGCTAAAATAAATAAGCATAAAAGTGTCCGTAAAGGAGGCAGAATTGACCTATTTAATGAGCGTCATAGTGTTTTTGAACATATTTTATTGACAATATGTCAAAAGGATTGGGCACAAGTTCCTAACACTTAGATAGTTCTCTCCCATACATAAAATCTTAATAGCCATACAACATTTACAAAGTTTTACAAAAATATATACATGTACATAGAAGAACAAAAACAATTGTTTTATGAATAAGGAAATAATATCTATTATTAATAATGGTGATAATAAATACAGTGTTGATATTATAAAAAATATAATAATTTCACTAGAGATAATACAATTCAATTTTAATTAAAAGTAGTGATTTATAGTGATTCTGAGTATGTGTTGCAAAATGCCAACTACTTTATGTGAAGTAATATAAAAGAAAATCAAAGTTATATCTAGGGCTGTATCAATATATCGATATATCGATACGTATCGATATTCAAGAAAAATATCGTATCGAAAAATAACTTCCAATACGTATCGGACAGACATTTTTTCTTCAAATTCTGTTTAAAAATTGGGAATTTCAATCATCAAAGATTATATTTTACTTTTTTAAATTAAAAAGTTCAATTATTATATAATTTCTAAGGAAATAACACAGTTTTTATAATTATTACAAAATACGAAGAGAATTTTATTTGAACATGTTGATTTTACTGTCATCAAAAATTTTAATTGAAGTATTATTTTTAAAGACAATGAGACAAGAACTTTAAAATGGGTAATAAAACACTTAATTGTTATGAAATGTATGCATTAAAATGATTGAGAAGGCCTTTCTAATAGATTTGTTTTAGAATCCAATATATCGCATATCGCTTTAAAACATATTGTATCGTATCGTATCGAAAATTTTGGCTCAATACACAGCCCTAGTTATATCTAATAAACAATCCAAGTTGTATAGCTGCAGATCTGTAGCTCTCTGAAAAAAATTTATATTGATAGACCGGAGAGCTATAAATTGTGCGCAATAAATATACAGTTTTTTCAATGGGTGGCAATGTAGCTCTCTGGTCTATCAATATATATTTTTACGGAAAACTACAGATCTGCAACTAAAAGTTGTACTGCCTTTTTTGAGTGGAATGATTATTAATCAATAAAAGAAATTACTATATAATCTAGAAACTGTTCCTATAAAGTCCCCCCCCCCTTCAAAAAAAAAACAAAAAACAACCCACACAGTCCATAGTACTACTTATTCTATAGCTAATAAATGGTCTCTAATAAAATACTACCAAAAATCTAGAGAATTGTTGCGTTCAATATCTTGACGTTTTATTGAATGCTGAGTTTGTATTACGTATATGCCAAAAACATTCCGAATACAATATCGCACGCCCCGTTGTAAACAAAAGAGTCGTCTGGTCAAATTCACATAGCTAAATTAAAGAAAAGAAGTGGCATCTAGGAAAGATGTGTCTATTTTTACACAAAAATGAAATCATTTAATAATAAAAATTTAGTACGTATTAGACCAATCAAACCCTATATAAATAAAATATAACACTCGGAAGGGTCATCGGAATAATGAAATATTGAACACTTACAGGACAGGCGTTAATTTGAATACCGATACTCACTAATTTTAGTTTTTTAAGTTAAAATAATTCTCATAAATTATGAGGAAACGTTTTAGGTATAAAATAAAGGAGTTATTGAACTCATATTGGTGATATTGGCACTCGATGGCTGTACAAATGCACTCATAAGCTCGTGCATTTGTGCAGCCAACTTGAGCCAATATTCACCAATATAAGTTAAATAACCCTATAATACTCAATGGATGTTTGGCCGTATTAAGTCAGTTAGCGGTATTGTGACATCACAATCAAAGAACGTTGAAAACAGTGGCTGCAACAGCTGGAACCAGCTGTATATCTGAGCAGGAAAATTGCTCAACAGGTCCATCGGAGTGGAGTTTTTCAAACACATTGATATGTCTAGCACGGAAAACAGGGAATTTATATTTAGAAGATGTAATCACTTTTTTAATTTTTAATTAATTTCTTTGACAAAAAAATTGTTCATGAAAATGGAACTGTCAGGAAGTTTTCAGAATCTTATCTATTAAAACTGACTATATGATAAAATATTTTTCGATTTTTTCTGTGGTGATTATGGAATGTTATTCAAAAGGAATATACCAACATTGGCCTCGGCTTCACGTCGTTCAAAACTGATATTTTGCTGGTAAATATCAAACAATATTAACCACTGCAAAACTCCAAAATTTTATAATATCATCAATAAACACCATTTTAAAGTTAAATTATTAAATTAAAACAAAAAAAGGAAGCTTACTGATATTCCAAGTTGTGATAAACGTTTCCAGAATCCATGTATTTTCTGCCATTGTATTTACCTCCACGAGCCGAGCTTCCAGGACTTCACATTGCGTCTACAGGATTAAAATATAATTAGATTATACAACCAAGTTCTTTAAAAAAGGAATAGTGTAAGAGCGCTGTTCACAGGACAATTGAAATTTACATTTCAAATAATATTTATAATATTTTACTATATTTATTTTATATTAAATTATTTTCATATGCATAAAGGCTTATAATGAAGACAAATTGTGCATCCTTTTGAAATTTGCGTGTGGTACTAATCAAATAAATGATAATTATAGTTTTTTTTCAACAAGAAATCCCATTTCTCTTAATATATAAACGATTGTTCTACGTATAAGTACACCTTATATAGATAGAAAGAAACATCTTCTTTAGACTCATCAAGATCGATTGTTAATCATAAGCAAATATTTCTTTCAAGTTATAGTACAGAAACCGAGACGTTGCTTCTACCCCAAATAAAGCATATGACTTTAATGTGCCTTCCGTTTCCTGCAAACCATGTAGCAATCCATGTGAAATTTCGGCGATTCGTGCAAACCATGAAGCGAGCGTGTACCGTTCGTGCATCATGCATCTGGTGTTTTAGCACATTTTAATATTTGTTGGGAATTTTTATTGATTGTCTGATTCTAAATATGTATTGTCTTCGCACACAACTACAATTTCTTTGAAAAAAATAGACAAACTCAAAACTATTCAAGGGTTCTCTATATATACCTTGTCGTATGGGAAAAAAAGTATCTTTTTCTAGAAATTTTCATCGGCTTTTCTTTTAAGCAATTGAAAATATATTAATAATCTATTTGCATTATATTAAATTTTGGGGACTGGCCTTCACACTGTGTTCAGTTCCTTATCCTTATAAAAAATAATTGATGAAAATTCGTTTGAACGCACAACTTTTTAAAATACGATTTTCATTTATTTTAGATACACGTGTGCTTCCTTTCAAACGTATGAATTTTCCTGGAATTATGAATGCATTATATTTCATTTAATATCCACAGACAAACAATCTAATCTTTTTCAGTATTTAATCGTCATTATTGAACGTCTTGAATCAAAAGATCACGTATATTTAAAAAAAAAATCAAATTTCAGGTGAAACCAAGTATTGACATAAGAATATTTTTTTTCATAACACTATTTTATTGATATCTAACATTATTATTTCAGTTGAATACAAATAAAATAAACGATTACGCATGTGAATAAAATTGAGAAGCACTTTATTTTAAGTGTGTGGTTAAAAGTTCCTCTTTTTCAGAATTCATCAACGCGTAAGCCCATGCCTTTGCACCCAGAAAACCCATGCTTTTGTACTCAGAAAGTGAATAAAAGTGCAACGCCCTTTTTTGTAATGTTTGTGATTAAATGTTCTGTATTCAGAATTTATCTATATACGTAAAGTCATGCCTTTCTTTTTACTAACAAATTAAATAAAAGTTCGTAGCACTTTTATGTTAAGTTTATGAATACTAAGGAATGAGTTTACACATCGATAAATTCTGAAAAAAGTAAGTTCAATTCCTGTTATTCTAAATTACAATGTTATAAAGGCATTTGTCCTTTAAGAAGCCATGCAGTCTTTAATTTCTGAACAGCGAAGGGATACTGTATGCTTTAAAAAGTCCATCATTAATTTAAACATTTAATGAAATAAAATTGTTAAAGCTCTTTGATATTGTTAACGTCAACAAATATCAAATATGCAAATGGACTTCAAAAGTGTTCGTCCATGTTAACGGCAAATGCTCTAAAATGAATGTAAAAGCCCGACGGAACCCTTGCTTTGCTCTGGTTTGTTTAAAGACGGGACAAATATTGGATGTAGTCAAATAAGTTTGATGCAAATAGTACAAAAGTCTGAGGAACATTTCTTCTTTTTATCTCAGCGCTACCGAGAACTGAATTAATTTTCAGTTGGTTTGTGTACCAAGATAGGAAGGTCGAGGATACGACTTCAGAAATTTTAAATT